CTGCCCTCCCCTGCAGGGTCACTGGCCCCGAGCATGTCCCAGACACAGCCTCCCAGCAGCCTGGGACACACTCAACCAGGCCTCCCAGGGCTCCTCCCCCTCCCCCTCCTCCGTGGGAAAGCGGTTTCCTCTCTGAGCACAGGATGGGCAGAGGGGCCCCTGGTCTCAGAACAACAGCTCAGGTCATGGAGTCTGTAACCGTGCCTCAGCCGCCATTGGGAGCATCCCCCCACCCCCTCAGCTAAACCCGTTGAGGACGCAGCAATTCACCTGTTCTTCAAATGAGGAGATCTGCCACCTGTTCATTCTTAAGACGTCCAGCAAGCAGCTTGCATCCAAGACCTCCTCATCAGGGACTTCCTGGCAGGACAAAGCTGGAAACATGGAAGGGCAGAGACTTAGGATGCTTCCCACCTCAGCAGTCTAACCAGGGAGCCCAGCCTGCCCAGCACAAACAAAGTCACCCCCAGATGTGGCCACCCCAAAACCAACTCACTGCCCACTCCCAGCGACCCGATAGGAGCAGAAAGCCCCGTCTTTCCCCGAGGAGCATCAGATGGTTTTGAACAGCTGGCCTTGGAGTTAACAACCCAGGGCATACCCATTGTGGCACGGGGCTCCTTCCAGGTGTGGAAGGGGTTGGAAAGTTCCTCTTCGGAGCCATACTCAGTGTCTACAAATCTCAGAGGCTGCTTTCAGGGGCCAACAAGAAGAAGTTTTCTGATAGCCATGAAAGTCCAGCCCTTTTCCTCGGACGGGTCCTAGAGAAGACACTGGCGGTTGGGTACCCGAGGAAGGGTGGCCAGCGTGCTCCTTGGACGCGAGGATGGTGAGACTCCATCTCATGTACACTGGACGTGTGGTCGGGAGAGACCAGTCCCTGAAGAAGGACAGCGTGCTCGGTAAAGTGGAGGGGCAGCGGCCAAGAGGAAGGCCTTCAAGGAGATGATTGGCACAGTGGCTGCAAGCCTGGGCTCAAACTTAACAATGGTGAGAATGGCGCCGGACCGGGCAGTGTTCTGTCCTGTTGTACACGGGGTTGCTATGGGTCAGAGCCGGCTGGATAGCACGTAACACAACATTCGGGAGCCCCCAGTTAGATTTCCAGCAATGTAGTGCATGCACAGCTACCAACCCCCCATGGGAATGATGCGGGTCCAGGCAGTAGCTCGCTGTTTGCATGGGGGTCCCCAGGAGTTAGGGGGCTGTGTGGCTAACAACATCTGAGAGAAACAGGTCCCCATTGGCCGGAGGCAGCAAGGGCAGGAGGCTGACTGCCACCTGTGGATCAAGACAGCAAACGGGGAACAAGTGACGAGGTAAGTATCGTTAGAGCTTCAGTGCAGCTACCCTGAATGAGCACGAGTGGGCATGAGATCAATAGGAGGGGCCCAGGGAAACATGGCGGGGGAGGGAGGGGTGCACGAGTTAGAGGGCTCAGAGGCCAATCCAGTTACTTGCAGTCCCGCAGCAGTGGGGATCTGCGAGGAGCTGCTTGGACAGACACAAAGGCTGAGCGGGTGGGAGAGTGGGATGTACCCACGGATACACATAGGTTTGACAGAGGATAGGTGAATATAGGCACTTTCCTTTGCTGTAAATACATCCATGAATGTGGTGGAGCTTACAGGGGGCAGAGCTATGGGAAGCGTTTAGTCATTTGCAAACACTTGGAGGGAAGGAGTCGCTGGGCCTGGGGGCTCAGGGTCATAGTCTTTGGGACACCGAGGTCAACTGGTCTAACAATTCACAAAGACAGTGTGTCACATCCTCCTGTGATGAGCAGTGACTGGGGTCTCAAAAGCTGTGAGTGGCCATCCAAGGGCCGACTCTTGGCCTCTCCCAGTCCAGAGGGAAGAAGGGTAATGCACACGAGCAGACGCATGGAAGCAAGCGGGCTGAGGGACTACTGGGCCACGTGAATATCAGTCTCCACTACTCGGAGACCCAGAAGAACTGGACAGTGCCCAGCTGCTCTGAAAAGGATTCACATTAGAAGGTCCTGGATAGAGTGGAGGAAACGTGAACAAGAACTCACAATCCTGAGAGACCAGGCTTGCTGGTAGGATGGAGACTGGTGGCAAATCAAGACTATGATGCTTAGTCACCCTTCGGGTCTGGCGCCGAACCCACTCCCTTGTGAGAATCATCACCCATGGAAGATCAAGAGGGCAGCAGTCACCCAAGCACACAGCGGTAGGAGAGGAGGAGGAATGGGAACAGGAAAGACAGGGAGGAAGCTAGCTGGATAAGCAAGGGTCCACTGAGGGGCACCTTTGAAACAAAATGTGCCTGAATTGCTGAATGTCAAACTCTGAGTGGCTCTGTACACCTTGACCCGGTTCACAAAGTCAAAGCTGAAGGCAAAAAAGTGAAGGAGCTCACGCTGCATGGAGTGGAACTGTGGTAGTTACATCATCTGTCGTCAATGTGAGACTTAAGGGTGAAGGGGTGGAATCTAGCCTGTCAATCAGGTCGTTTGATGACCTCATCTGGAGGCTCTAAGGAGATAAATATCTCACTGGAGGCGGGACACACGCTCACTCCCTGCGAGACATTACTGACGATGAGCCTGATAGAGCTACGCTGATATAGGCAGAGCTTGGAGCCATGTGGAGACCCCTGTCAGCACTAAGATGCTTACAACACCATTGGATCCACAAGACTTTCCACCCACTGGCCTGTGATCTTCCTGCATTCGGTGTCATTGCATGTGTTGCATGAGTCTGAAGAGGAATTTATAAATTCGTATCGGGCATATGGGCTTGATATATTGGACTTATGGACTTGATCTGGACTGGGCTGGGATGTTTTCTCAATATTCAGTTGCTCTTGTACATAAAGCTCTTTCTTATACACCTATGAGTGTCTACGAATTTGTTCCTCTCGTCTGCCCGGACTGACACAGCACAGAGCGGCAGGACCTGCAGGGACACGGACGTGGTCTGGGAGGATGTGCTCTCGCTGCCTTCGGGCAGGAAGGGCAGGGACGATGTGATAAAGGGGCTTTGGCTTTGCTGGCCATGCTCTCCCTTGTGACAAGGAGAATGGATTCGAGCTCTACTTGTGCCGTTAAAAAATGACATCTAAAAACCCCAAGTAAGGACATCAGGGTGGGGGTGGGGGGAAGGTTCAAGAGTGGCTACCAGGGTGGCGTGAAGGGGGGCAGGGGAAGCCACTGTTCAGGACGCCAGGCTCCGTTTTTACGTTGTTGCTGTTTGCTGCCAAGTCGGTCCCGTGCCAGAGCAGCCCTATGTTGCTGTCTTCTTGTGGGTGGTGGTGATGGAAGATGTGCCCATGGGTACTGGCACTGGTACGGTGTGTGTGTGTGTGTGTGTGTGTGTGTGTGTGTGTGTGTGTGTGTGATGGCGGAACAATTCGGTGCATTGTTCTCATCAGGACACCCGCTGACGAGCACTGTTACCATGTTCTCGCTCAACTCCATGTCCCACACAAGCCCCTTGGGCGTACTTTTCCAACGACAATTACGGACAAAGGAGCCGACACGGACGAGCAGGAGCCCAGGAGCGCTCACACACGAGGGGCTCGAGACAACGGGGAAGAACGCACCGCTGTTCAGTCCTGCTAGCGAAGGGCAGCTGCGGGATGGCTCGGCTCCCGGGCCACATGTGGCTGCCCTGCTTCAGAGGCCCTCAGCTTCTCGGGATCTGGACCGCCAGGGCTGGCACCGCAGCACAGGAAAAAAAGACTCCCACATCACCTCGTGAACAGAGGACTCACAAACTCGCTGCTGCCACCCAGTCGATTCTGACTCAAAGTGACCCCGCAGGACAGCACAGGGCTGCTCCCTCGGGTGTCCAGGGCTGTTAAGTCTTTACGGGAGCGGGCAGCCTCGTCCTTCTCCCGAAGAGAAACTGTGGATGGCAGCCCACCACTTGACCCACGGCAGCCCCGGGCCTCCTCAGAAGCACAGCATTGGCCTCACGGAGATTTCTTAGGGGCCAGCACAGCTCTCGTGGGAAATGCCCCAGTGAAGCAATGACTGAGCTGAGGGGTGTGAAAGCCACTCCCCTCCCCAGCAGTGTGAATTAAGGGTGCAACCCCAAAGTGACCCTGCTAACCTGGGGACTTTGGTTGTTCAGCATTTTTCTGTGGAAGTTCTTGTAGAGAAGTCAAATTCTGTACTTTAGATGCTGTGCTTCTTGTCAGTTCCCAAACGTAAAAAACACTTTCTGAAGAGGATTCTTATCAGCTACATAGTATCCCAAGGAGCTCTGGTGGGCTGGGGGGCGAGCATTGGACTACTAGCTAGAACACAGGTCCTCAAACTATGTCCCGCGGGAGGCCCACCGGGTGTTTTTGCCCCGTTTTGTTTTTTACTTCAAAATAAGACATGTGCAGTGTGCACATGAATTTGTTCATGGTTGTGTTTTTTTTAAACTATAGTCCGGCCCTCCAACAGGTCTGAGGGATAGTGAACTGGCCCCCTGTTTAGAAGGTTTGAGGACCCCTGAGCTAGAAGGTTGGTAGATCAAACCCACCGGCTGCTCCTCAGGAGAAAACTGAGGCTGTCTGCTCAGGTAGATTTACCACCTGAGAAACCCTGTACGGGCCGCATGGGTTGGAATTGAATTGACTAGATGGCTATGGGTTTGATTTGCTGTAATGTGATGTTATTTGGTTATGGGGAAGAAACAAACAAACATGAACCAATAATATAGAATTTCCTGATTTATAAGGAAACGGGCTTCATCGTTCTACCTTCAGACAAGGACATCCTGTCCCCTCCTTATCCCTGGGGGTCAGAGATAGCTGTGCGTTCACTAGCATTTCCCGAACCCTGCTCTGTGAAAACCTTCGGGATGCTAACAGTTAGGAGGAGAGAATACGACCAATTTGACAGTCAAAATAGTTTCAACGTGAAATCGGGCTGAACGGGCGGCTGCTATGCCGTGTGTATTCTCGACAACAGCAACCAGGACACAAGGAAGTAAAGTCCGAAGAGGCAGCTTACACTTGTAAGGAGCCAACAGTAGACAGTGCAACTCTCCAGCCCGGGGACGGTGGCCGGCAGTGCCCAAACCTGTTCCTGGAACGCTGCTGTCCTGATGAGTCCCAGTCCCAGCCCACATTCCTGCCCATCGCCGGTGTCATGGCACTACCGGGCACTGCGGGCTCCGCACAAGACTGTGCAGCAGCCAGGGCTGGGGCTCGGTTTTTCCATTCTCCCAGCAGGTCCAACAGGAGACCTTTGATGGGGTGTGTCTCTGGGATGGCGTGGACTGTCTGTTGGGGACGAATACCCAGCCTGAGACACATTGTTTCATGTGTTTGCGCCGTGTATTTCTGCCTTCCCGAAAAGGCAGTAGTTATAACTGGCAACTTTTAAACATGCATGGTGGCATCTTTGATTCAAGAACCAACCAACCTGTTTGTACTTCCGGGAGCTGCCCGCCTGACCATTTTCCCCCCATCAAGATCTGTATGATCTCCTATCCTCCACACTGCCCCTCTGGCACCACTCCAAGGCTGTTAACCCCTTGTCTGCCATCTGGGCTTCTTTGAAAATCCACCACCCTTTCCACGCCCCACGGGCTACCTTTTAGGAGGTGCAGCAGCGTTAAGGATAAATACTGGTGTTGGGGGGGCTCTGCCTGACCCCGAGCGTACTGGCTGGTGAACTCCTCCAGCCATTTGATGAAAGCCGGGCAGGCGGACAAGCCCTGCAGCAGGGAGTTCATGAAGCAGGTGTTGCCCAGGTTGACGAGGCCCGGAACCAGGCCTACAAGCAAAAGAAAGAACAAGGTGAGGTGGACGAGAGGAACAGTGCACCCCGGGGCCCAGCTCTCCACTGGAGCCCGTTTCTGCTCGGTGCCCTGGCGTCTGGGCTCAAATCTCAGAGGGCCCCCTGGCCCCCAGATCCAGGGCCCACGGCTCCGCCCAGGCTGAGGCCTGACCCTGCCCTTGCCTCTAGAGGCGACTGTCTGTCATAGCAGGGTCGCCTGCCTGTGTCATTTCTGACCCCATGGAGGTGCTGGCACGGAGTGGTTCAGCTGGACGGACCGGGACACTGGGCAGCCATCCCTGCTCGCTTGGGTGGGTATGTCTCTCTACGCGAGTGAGAAAGCAGCGCCCTCGGAAAGAAGAGAGCGATTGTGCTGTGGCCACACACAGAACGGGGACTGTGCTTTCCGTCTTACAATCGGGGGGAACAAGGCCACTATAGAGAGCAGTGCTTCCCTCTTCTGCTGGGAAAAAAAATGCTTAACAACATGTTATGACCCGGGTCCCCACATGTGCACAAAATGAGATGAAAAAGCAAACAATGCCTGCCGCTAGATTGAACCTGTTTCATTGAACCTTCCCCACCCCTTTTTTTTTGCTGAGTGTTAATTGATAGTAGAACCACCACATGTGTTTCAAAGGCGACTCTTTTAAAAAAAAAACAACAACAGGGAACAATGTGTGATTTACGAAGAAACCCCCTTGAACCGGGTGCTGGGAACAGCCCGGCAAGGAGCTCTGGGGGGCACTCGGTGAAGGGCTCTGCTGCTTACCCAACAGCCACCCAGCGTGCCAAGGGAGCAAGGCCCTCGCGGTGGGCACCCATGACGACGGCCAAGGAGTCCCACCCTATCTTTCCACTGAGATCGGAGACTGCCTCGCCTTGCCGGCCCCAGACCCCAGCTGCATCACCTACACAGAGGCTGAACGGCTGGAAAAATACAGCCGCCACGGTGCCCAGGGCTTCAGCGTGGCCGCCAGCTACTAGAGCTGCTCATGACGGAGAAGGCTCCCAGCTCACACTCGGTGCAAGATAAAGAGTCACTGAAATGAAGTCCAGGTTCAAAGGAAGGCCTGTTTCCAAGGGCAAGGCCCTCGGTGTAAGGATATGAGAGAAGGAAGCGGGGGCCCGCTGTCCTCGTGCCGCAGCGATCGGGGCCTCCTAGGGGAGTGGGGCCCATCTGCAGCAGGCCCTGCAGCCCCCCTTCGCCCTCCCTTACCTTTCCTTCGCTTCTTCCGGTCCGTAATGGGACCCCAAATGACATAGATGCCTGCTGCCAGGGCAGCGGCCACACCGCCGATAAGACCCCAGTTCCTCATGACTTTGTATCTGAAAAACAAAAGACATTCCCCGTCTTCCCACGTCGTAAGCGCGGGCCATGGCTGCACTCGCAGCCTGCAGACACATGCTGTTGCACTGAGTCCACCCCGTGGGCACTCATGTGCCACAGACGCGAACCGGCCCCAGAAGGCTTACTTGGCCGTAATCTTATGGAAAGAGCCCCAGGGACACGGTGGTTGAGTGTTTGCCTGCTAACCGAAAGGTCGGAAGTTCAAACCCACCAGGGGCTCTGTGGAAGACAGATGTGGTGGTCTGCGTCCATTAAGACTGACACAGCCCTGGGAATGGTACGGCAGTTCTCCTTCGCCCTGTGGGGTGGCAATGAGTCGGGGTCAATTGGATGGCACGTAAGGACAGCTGATCTTAACGAAAGCAGGCCATCAGTCCTCACAGTCCAATGCCCGGGCTGGATGGGTGTGAACCGATGACCTTTTTAGATGTGCATTTCAGCACAAATAGTGCCACCCAGGAACCTTGTACATACACGCACACAAACACAAACATACACACTCCTAACCCCCGCAAAACACCACACGGCCATTGGGCTGATTCTCACTCATAGCGACCCTGGTGCACAGGGCTTCCCAGGCTGTAAATCCTTACGGGAACAGACTGCTTCATCTTTCTCCTAAGGAGCAGTGGTGGGTTTGAAAGGACCTTGCAGTTAGCTAATCAAGGCTTACCGGACAGCACCACTGGTATATGCATACACTGGTACAGAGTAATAAGTCAAACTAACCCACCACTTACCAAGCACGCAGCTTTCAAGTGAACGTAATACACAGTCCTAGAACTATGTCTTGGAAATCGGCTTGATGAGACATCAGACTGACAACCCAAGTCAGATCACAATCTTCCAACGGACCCATCTCATTTGGAGGAAAAGCCACTCACCCCTGTTCCAACACACTGGCCACCTCACCAGCATGCTCTGATCCCAGGGCCTTGGCACTGCTCTCCGAGATCTTGGGCCCCCCCTGAGCATAAGGAACTCTGGTGGCATAGAGGTCATGTCCTTGATTGCTAATGGAAAGGTCCCTGGCTTGAACCCACTAGCGGCTCCTCGAGAGGAAAACCTAGCCATCTAGTTCAGAAAAAAGGAATTAGCCACTGAAAATCCCACGGAGGGCCATTCTACTCTGACACACAGGGGGTTACCAGGAGTTGGAACCAACTCAAATGCCAACTGGTAGCTGGCGGCTAGCAGGGTTTGCATACAAAACCTAGGGCAAGCGACAGACTTTGGAAACTCCGTTTCTGTGCCAAATGACAGGTGGGGGGCAGGAAGGTAAGGGGACCTGGCAGTGAGATCTGGCTTCTCCTAGGAACTCTGCGATCCGTTCAAAGGTGAGTGTACAGGCAAGGCTGTCTCACGACCCAGCTCCCATGCATGGAACGGGGACACCAAGCAGCACAGCACAGAGGCCTTGCTTCCAGCCCTGGGACAATAGCTCTTTGAGACCTGCCCCAGTTAGGGAAGCGGATCTGAGGAACAGCCTCGGTCGTTTAGGGTCAGCACCGAGAGGGCAGGTGGTGCGCAGCGCCGAGACCTGGAGCACAGGGAAAGGTGGGTTACAAGGAAGCGGACCGGAGCTCTAGCAGGCTGCTGGGGCGACTGTGGGCCCTGGCGGGAATAAAGATTTTAAAAGGATGGGACCTGCGTGAACAGGTTGAGGAGCTGTGATTGGTTCCGGAATCCTGGCGAGTAAAGGGGGTCAAGACTAAGCGCGAGAAACCAGACAAAAGTTGAGCTCTCTGGGAAGACTAGGTTCTGACCCCTCAACGAAGGTTCTGGTGGGGGCGGCAGGAGGAGGGCTGGGTATAAAGCAGTGAGGGCAGCAACCCCGGCGGTATCTGGGGGGCAGGATCATGTTGGGAAAGCCCGGGAGGGAGCAAAGCTTGGGGAAGCCCTGGAGAGAGCTGGGGGCGGGGGTGCTGACAGCACTGTGGAGTGGCTGCAGGCCCTGGGGCAACCACGACTGTGGGGTCCAAGGAGAGAGGGGCGCTGGCAGGTGCTGCACTGACATGACCAGGTTGGAGGCATCCCTAGAAAGACTGGGGGGAGGGGGGCGGTGGGGCTCTAAGTAGGCCTGGGAGGGCTCAGAAGGGCCGGGGCATTGACAGAACTCGGTGCCTTGACAAGATGGGGCGCTGCCAGAGCGGGGAATGCGCTGGCAGAAAGGGGGTCACCAGCCGAATGGGAGAGCGCGGGCAGAATTGCTGCTACCCCAAGGTCTGGGAGCCCCGAGAGGCCCACGGCCCCTCTCCCCGCCTCCTGGCACGAGTCTCCCAGCCTCCGGGTCGTGGAAGCTTCTGGAATGACTGCCCGGGCACCCGGCGCCCCGGCCGCCACCGCCGGAGAAGGCTGTCCCGGGCCGGAGCTGAGGACCCCCGCCACCCCGCTGCCAAAGCTCACCTGACCGCCGTCCCGGTCCGCAGGAAGCGATGGAGGGCTCTGTCGGCAGCCGCGAGCGCGGCCTGCGCCCCGCCGGAGCTCAGCATGCCGGCCGCAGCCGCTCCGCACTGCCCACTCCCGCGAAGGGCGGGCCCTGCCGCTTCCCGACGCCGCGGAACCCGCGGGCAGACGCCCGGCTCCCAGGGGGAGGCCAGGCCACGACGGACCGGCGCGCGAGACGGACCGGAAGTGGCCGCCCCCGGAACGCACTAACCGGCGGACCACTTCCGGCCTTCTTGCCCGGGCGCTGGGGAAGGGAGCGGGGAGTCTCGGAGGCCTGGGCTCCTTGCTTTTACCGCTTTTACCCGGGGCTCTCCGCGTGGATGCAGGTGCGCGCTGGCAGGAAGGGCCGCGGGTCCTGGTTTGAATTGCTCTGGGCGGAGAGGGTTGCTCCCGCCCGAAAGCTGGCGGCGTCAGGCCCAGACGACCGTTAGCGACGAGTGTCCTCTCTAGGGAGAGCCTTCCATCGGGCGTGGCCCTACTTTGATGTTACTGTTAGGAAAACTGGAGCCTTTAATCAAAGCCGCCTTGTCTCGTTAGTTGTTTATTGCTAAGTGCCTATGAAGGCGCTTCAAAAAACGAGGGAAGTGCAATCAGCCAAACAAACAGATGAGTTTGAAAAATGTTTCCAAGAATGGAATCACAGATTTGACAAATGTATTAATGGTACTTTGAAGGTGATAAAGTGGTTTTGTTAAAAAACAAAAACATAGCTTTGAAAAAGAAATCCCTGTGTGTGTGTGTGTGTGTGTGTGTGTGTGTGTGTGTACCCCCGCATAACGGCCACAAAATTGACAGTGGACATCATACCGGTCTTGCAGCCTTTGCAGCAGTAGGACTAGAGAGAATTTAGTCAGTTTCCCTAACTCCAGAAGGTGTAATAACAACTGTCCTGGGGGTCGGGGTGGGGGAAAATAAAGGCTGCAATTAAATCTCTTTGGTTTCAGGACCGTATTGGAGCTGAATTCTGAGCACCAGGTTTATGGGAGCCCCACATCCATTTTGAGTCGCCATTTGTATTAAGCCTCCCTTTAATTCAGGGGTCCTCAAACGACATCCCGCGGGCCACATGCAGCCTGCCTGATGTTTTTGCCCCGTTTGTTTTTTTACTTCAAAATAAGATAATGTGCAGTGTGCATAGGAATTTGTCCATAGTTTTTTAAAAACTATAGTCCGGCCCTCCAACAAGACTGAGGGACAGTGAACTGGTCCCCTGTTTAAAAAATTTGAGGATTCCTGCGTAATTCTTCCTGACCATGTGACCAGTCTTGACCTTCGACCAGCGGCTCAGAACCTGTGGGTCGTGACCCCTTTGGGGGTGGAACGACCGTTTCACAGGGGTTGCCTAATTCATAACAGTAGCAAAATTATAGTTATGAAGTACCAATGAAAATAATTTTATGGTTGGGGGGTCACCTCAACATCAGGAACTGTATTAAAGGGTTGCAGCATTAGGACAGTTGAGAACCACTGCCTTAGAATGCATTAGAGAGTGGATTACTACCACCCACCTAACCAGTCTACTAAGAATTTGCCTCAAGGACTGCCCTGGGTGGAATTTTGAGTGACTGGGATTGTTTAGTCAATAAGTCACATCCTTACTGCCTTGGAAGGAGTGCCTTTGACCAGTCTTGTAAACTCTTCTAACACAGTAGGAATCCCAGTTGCAGTCCCATGCCTGCTTCTGTCTTCTCACCATGACTAAGATGTATTGACCTGCCACCAATGCTTTGTGACCATTTCCTTTCCCCTTCCATCTCCTATTAATGGTCTTCCTCATCTGGATGGTGTGTCTTTGTCTGATCTTTTCCTATTAAAGACTTAATAAATGTTCTCCTTAAATTAGTTTTGAAGTTTGGGGTCATTTCTTTTTAATCATTTTATTAGGGCTTATACAACTCTGATCACAATCCATACATATATCAATTATGTAAAGTACATTTGTACATTCATTGCCCTCATCATTCTCAAAACAT